AATTTATATGCTGCGATTATCGTTCATAATTTGAATTTATATATAAATATAAAATATGTTTCCCCACTGAATAAGAACGAACATAAAAACTTATAATATTGTTATTTGAATAAAATATAGTTATATTGATTAATATTTTGTTACAATTATACCTTATCAATCAATTGAATACATTATTCGAAAATAATTCGAGATATTTATGTTGGTTATCGACGTACGACTGCAAAAATCAATTTCAAATTTTATTCCGACGATAGTCGCCCTCTAACGTTTCACTAGAGAGATATTTTACTTTTTGAAGAGAATATTTCGTAAGAGTTTAAACAATTATTTTTATAACAACAACATTTGAATAAATTTGTATGTGACTAAAATAAGTGTAATAAATTCACTGATCTTCCATAATTATATCTTGTTAAAATGCGTCATTTACAAGAAAAGTGAGTTATATAACCTCTTTGAAAACTACGTGCTATTAAATCTTCAAAAATAAGTACACAGCTGCATTTGGTTGTTTTTTAAAGCAATCTTGTGTTTGTTTAAAGAGTGTTTGCCATCGATACAACCAATAATTTATACAATGCTTCGATTGTTAACATCTTTACACTCTCAAACATGCAAAGCGGTAAGTCAATAATATAGAGATATTAATTAATTTATTTAAATCTTAAGATTTATTTTGATATATACGTAACGTGATATATATATATATATATATATATTTACAGGTATTTGTTGGAACATCAAATTTGATGAAAACTAGATATCCAACTTTAGTACAACATGCTCGAAGTCTTTGTGTTAGTAACAACCTTTCTTCTTGTCAACTTCAGATTCAAAAGCCTGCACCTGAATTTTCTGGAACTGCGGTAGTTGATGGTGATTTTAAGGAAATCAAACTAAGCGATTATAGGGGAAAATATGTTGTTCTTTTTTTTTATCCTTTAGACTTGTAAGTTGTTAGGTTGCTAATAATGGAGCTTATTAAAAAGAAACTAAATTCTTAAGATTAATCTAAGGCTTTATTTTTAGCACATTTGTATGTCCCACTGAGCTGATAGCGTTTAGTGAAAAGATCTCAGAATTTAAAACTCTGAATACTCAAGTGATTGGAGTTTCTACAGATTCGCATTTCAGTCATTTAGCATGGACTAATACGCCAAAAAAGCAGGGAGGTCTAGGTGGCAATTTGGGCTATCCTCTTCTCAGTGACTTTAACAAGGAAATATCTGCTAAATACAATGTACTTCTCCCAGATTCTGGAATTGCCTTACGAGGTCTTTTTATTATCGACAAAGATGGAATACTGAGGCAGCTTTCTGTAAATGATTTACCAGTGGGCAGAAGCGTAGAAGAAACATTGAGACTCATCAAGGCATTCCAATTCGTTGAAAAGCATGGAGAAGTCTGTCCTGCCAATTGGCAGCCAGATTCTAAAACCATTAAACCAAATCCAAAAGATAGTAAACAATATTTTGAATCAGTTAATTAAACTTAATTTTTTTAATCGTATGATTGTCTTGTACTGTATAAAAAGTAATAAAAATAAAATATTAACATATCCGTAGATATCCGTCACGATGACAGAATAAGTATGTTTTTCGCAATGTCATATAATTTTTTTTCACTTATTCTTTATTCTATTTTAATTCCTTTTTTTTTTTTTCAAGCAACAAAAAATATGAACGATGGTATGCGCGTTTACGTAATCACGTTCGTTTGTAGCAACAGAGTCGAAAGTGTATTTAGTTCCTTCAATCAGGGCTAAAGTAAGAAGCGTAGAAAAAGATGCGCGAACAGTCTCGTACATACGCGTAGTACATTTAAGAGTCGAATCTAGAGTGTCAGTATAAAAGAGAATAGTAATCTTGTGTTAATTAATTTGATTTTTTGTAGCAATGAAAGTAATAAGAATGGATCAAATTCTGAAAGTTCGTGTAGAATTCGATTACTTCTTTGTTTCTCCACGGCTAAAGTAATTGCGTTCAAAAAAAGAACAACATAGATGGGCTACAACAATTTAGCTTGAGAGATACTTTTATTTATAAATCACATGTCATTTAATATTCTTTACTAATATGAAAATATTCATTTAATCGAGTCGCCGTTTCTTTTTTTTGATCAATAGAGAATTCTCAATTGCGAGCAATATTAATCGATGTCAAAGGAGCTCGAGTGCCGGGAAGGAGGCTGATTCAGGGAATTGGTGGAACCGCATTTACGATGAATTTATAAGAGAGAGCTTATTATTTCGTAAAGAAGATACCGACGCCGGTAACGCCCCTAAAGGAAGGGATAAAGTAACCAAAGAAGAGGGTCGGAAAACGAGCGACGTACAAGATATACCGGGAAGCAGGGAAAAACTGAAAAGCGACGCCGAGATAAACGGCTCATCCTTTTTCGCCCTACAAAATCCAATCCTGTCCTTTACGAGCCGAAATCTCAAGATTAAACATATTTCGTCTCCCCGTCGAGATAGTGTGAATTAACTTTATGATGTCGAGACGTCGCGCGTCGATAGGGGATATCGCTTTCATCGAACGGAATTTACCCATCATTTGTCAAATCATGGCAATGTTGAGAAATTATTTTCTTCTTCCTTTTTTCTCCAAAAAAAAAAAGAGTAAGATATGTAAGTATATTTACAAGAACGTCGAAAATGAAAAAAAATTTCGTTTATTCACGTTTATTCTCTGCATATAATTGTTGCTGTGGTGGAGATGGACCAAGCAACATGGGTTCAAAATGTTTGAATTTTGAGACGGATAGGATTGGAAATCGTGAACGAGTGAATTATATAATTTTGGCGTAATGTAACGTCTACGACGATGTATTGCCTTGTGCACTGAGTTTTGCATATTGTCGCACTGATCTTCCTAGATGTTAGGACTTTTTGCCAGCATGAAACAGCGGGCGAACTCTTTGCCTTTTTTCTAAATCTAAAGATAGAATAATAAATTTTTTCATGCGGACAAGAAACCTAACGTCGCTCGTATAAATATAATAATCCTTAGAATCATAGAAAATGGCCGAAACAACGCGCTTCATGTTCTTAATACTTTTTTGCACAGCGAATGGAAAATGCTGAAGGAGACAGGATGGATAATGGAGTCCGGCAAATGATGAATAATCGGCTGAAATCGCAGCACACCTGAAAATACCAGAAAGGAACTTACGTATTGAATCGTTGCCACAATAGCGAGGTAGATTTTCCCCGTCGATTCTCGCGTTCATTCCTTGGAAAGTTTGCGAAATCGAGTTACACTCGGTCCTCTTTCCTCCCTTTCTTCCACTTTCCCGCGATTCTTCCGCCTTAACGATTATCGATCCAGCTTTTGACGCTCGCCAATTCCGTCGTAATATCTGTCCGATTAAGAGTGAACGTGGATTATGTCGTCGCCGGGCGAACGCGGATTTTCTTCTTCTAATCGACTTCCTAGTCGCCTATCGCCGCCGGTTTGTTCCGCCCCCGTGATTGTTGGGGCTGCAGCCATACGGCTTCTCGTTCTAATTGCTTCTTTTGTTGTCCGTAACTAACGCTTAACCGATCTTAACATTTATCTCCCACGTAGGTCGATCGTTAAACTTCAATACTGAACTTAATCCATTGATAATTTCGAAATTAAATGGAGATTTTTGTCAGAAATATGATCATAAGAGGAGACACTTTAGATTAATTCATTGATTCTTCTGCGAGAGTTGAATTTACCAACTGTTATACAATCGAGCTTATTAAAAAAGAGTAAACGATAAATTACTAGGTAATTTTTTATTTTCATCGAAAAAAATCAAATGAAAAAGCCACATTATTTACAACATGAGTATGAATAATTTGAATTGTGATGCGAACGGTGGAAAAAAGTAGATTTTAAACACACTTCAACACGCTGTTCGTAATCCTATTAATACACCGGTGACAAAAGTCCCAGGCTACATTCGCGAGCGATTGTCCCGCGAGCGTGTTACATTGTCACGCAGAATGACAATAAGCGACAAATCGCTTAACTTTGTTAGCCCCGTTTCAATCGCGATTATAGTCTCGCCGCGCTATAGTTGTAGGCGCGCGGAAGAGACGAGAAGAAAACGACGAAGAGAAAAGAGGGAAGCGAGTTGGCTAGCGAACCGCTTCGGTTATTGTCGCGCGGAGCGATCGAAGCGAGCGAACGCGCGCGTCAAAGAGCATCCTTCTATCGTTTCCTCGCTGAAATAGAACTCGCTGGTCGTTTGAGCCTCCCTTTCTCGGCCCTTCCCCTTGCTCCTCCGCAGCCACCCGTTTTTTTTCCCCCTGCCGAGGGTAGGAGCCGTCTAATAACCTCCCAGCTGAGAAGCACTGAGAAGCGAAAAAGGAACATTTTCTTAAAGGAGCATTCAGAGCGCGGCTTGATAGGTGGATATTATAGTAGCTGGGGGTAACCCTCGCTGCCTAGGCCCGGTTGGCGGCGAGGAACGAACGCAAGGAGGAGGGAAAACGGCGGCGCGGCCACGAAAACCAAGAGACACACAGAAAAGAGAGAGAGAGAGAGAGAGAGAGAGAGAG